ATACGCAAACATGCACAAAGACACACACATGTGCCATGCCCCCGTCTTGCCCACAGACTTGTTGGTCAAGTGGAGGCAGGCTCAGGTACACAGATAGAAATCTCAGACTGATACTGCATTGATCTCAGAGTTGATCAATTTTTTTAGGGAAAAATAATCAAAGGGAGAAATAACTTAAAATGAGCCCTCAAAATGCAAGTGAAAAGGAATCTGGCATTTTTAGTTTACTATCAAAGCCCTGCTCAGAAGCACCAAAGCACACAAGCCCATGAAGACACCCAGCCTCAAAGGGCAGGCACCAGCTTTACTATCTACGAGTAGATTCCAACTCAAAGCAACCCTATAGGACAGAGCACAACTGCCACATAGGGTTTCCTAGGCTGTAATCACTACAGGAGCAGATCACTAGGTCTCTTCTCCCTCAAAGTGGCTGGTGGGTTCAAACCACCAGTCTTTCGATTAGCTTTAACCACTGCAGCACGAGGGCTTCTTCGACTATCTATCAGATATCAAAAAGGAAGTGGAGACAATTCCTGTGGGTGCACCCTTGCCCTTACTATAGCCTTTTACCAAACTAGAGGCCAGAGACACACTCAACTGATCCCTGAGGCATGAGATGGACAGGGAGGTAACTGACGTCAATTTGGGAATCCTGGGCCCAGGCACCCTGAAGGCAACAGGAAATGCTGAGGGAGAGGAGCAGGTAATGGGCACACAACTGGCCCTTCTGGCCTGAGGCTCTGAGTAGCCATTCCAGTCTATGAAGAAACTGGGCCTGGCCCCATCCCCAAAAAGCCCCCAACCCAACTCTAAAGTGTTCTCAGAACTTAGAGTTCTCTTGCTCTAAGACTTGGATTCTAATGGCAACATTTCAGCCTCTAGGACGCAGAAGCCTGTGGTCTATTTTTTAATCACCCATTAGTGAGCAGGCAAGTTTGCTTCTCAGAGTCCCCTTTCCATCTGGTTCCAAGGGGCCTTGAAGGGAGCCCAGACCCTTACAAGGAAAGAACTTGGGCCTTTTGGGGAGGCTTGAGCCTAAGGAACTGGTCTTTCAGTAGGCAACTGCCATTGCCCACGCAGTGAAAAGGGAGGAGCAAGAGGCAGAAGAGCCATGCCTCTGCACCCAGCCTCCAGGGAGAGGGCAGGGACCGAGCACACAGATGTCAAGTGAGCTCCTCACCATTCAGCACACACTACACTACTGGTAAATGTCCAACTGGGGACCCAGAGGTAGCCAAGGCAAGGTCCTTGTCTCCTGAGGATCTCAAACCGAGGGAAAGATGAATGGAGCAGCAGTCCAAAAGAGTTGTTACACCAAGTCTTAATACCCCAGAGTGCAGGCCTGGCTCCACTTCCTCCTGTCTGAGTGACCCTGGACAAGTAATTTATAGCTTGTCCTGTCTTCCTTGCATGCTTTTTGAGTGAACCAATGACAGTGGTGTGTGTGGAAGTGAGTAAAATATCCATAAGGGACTGAGGGGCTTTCTGTGAACTGGACTTGCGGGGAGGGGATCAGAAATTATCCATACACACAGATTGCACATAGATCCATACAAGGACACACACACACATGTGAAGGTTTAAACACAGGCCCTCTGAAGAGGCAGATGTGACCTATCTCTCCCCTACAGGACCCCACACCACACACCACCTTCCGGTTTCAAAGACCCATCCCCCTAGGAGGGCTGACTTCCATACCACCTCTCTTCTGAAGCCTTCCCTGATTACCACTGGGGGGTGAAAAATAAATCACCTTCTCCCCATTCCTGACTCTGAAAATCTGCCATTTGAATCAGAGCCACAGAATTTTAAAGTTGGAAGGGACCTTTAAGCTCTAGTCCACAGAGGAATCCTGTCTACAGACACTCTGACAGGTGGCCACACAGTGTCCTCTCTTAGGCTTCTCCAAGGCTCACAGGGCAGCCTTTTCCCTATGGACTAATCTTTCCTTGAGTCTAGAAAATTCACCTTTTCTAGGGTCAGTCACCTATTGAAGGCACATACCCCTGAGAGGGGCTGCTGCTTTGATGAGCAGCTGAAGAGAAACTCCAAGGAACTGGACAAAAAGTTGGAGAGGAAGCCAGGGCCCAGTGGAGGGAGGCAGGCAAGTGCTAGACCTGCTGCAAAAGTTCCCTGGGGGCCCCCTGCCTGGATGCTGTGCATGCATACACCCATACAGACTTTCACAGAAATGACAGTCAAACATCTCAAGCACGGCCTCAATGGAACTTGGTGGTAGAATAGACCACCTTGCAGATCTATATCCACCAGAAATCCAGCAGGATCTCTCACAAACCAAGCCTCCAAATGTAAAGTAGTGGAAAGTTCTACCAGGAGACTGCCCCTAACAGCAGAACAGACAGCCCTGAGGGTCGCCTGACAGCTGGATCCCCAAAATCCCACGGACCAGTTTGAACAACCCAGCAATGCCGAGGAGAAAAGCTCCCCCGGCTGCAGCTGTCACATCTGCCAGAATGGACGAGGCACAGAGGAGCAACACCTGATCCCAGGATCCCTTCGTGGCCTGCCAGCCCAGGAGGCTGTTTCAGCCGCTGGCAACCTGGGTGAAACATGAAGACTGAACAGTCCCCCTGGGATGCTGATGGCAGACTCTGGGCACGGCCGAGAGGGGCAAGCCGGGTCACAGGGCCCACGGTGTTTCTCCCACCGTCCCCTGTCCTGCTGGTTTGGGAGGGGACGAGTTGTGTGGCTCTGGGTCTCCAGACCTTCCTCCCCTGCCTGAGGCGACCGGAGCTGCCCAGCTGGGTGCAAAACGCCATCTTGGGTCAAGGTGCAGCCACTCGGGGTTCCACTCGGGATCCGAAGGAGAGAGCCCCTGAGAACCAACGGGCCCCCACCCCCACGCAGCAGAGAGGGGGATGGACCGAGAGAAAGGGGGGGGGAATAACAGATGGGTGGAGGGAAGGGAGCGTGTGCCCCCAAGAAGAGAGGTTCCCGAAAGGCGCATCGCAGTTTGGCAGTACCAGGGCCGCGGGCCCCAGCGACGGGGGGCTGGGGGAGGCCGGGGGCGGGCCCTGGACCCGCGCCAGCCAGGCCCGCGGCGCTGGGGGAGGAGGGCAGGGCGGCCTGGGGGAGGGGAGCAGGGTGAGGGCGGGACACGGACCGCAGCAGCAAGCGGCTCCAAAGCCCAGGGTCTCCCGCGGTGCGTGGACTTGGGGCAGAAGACCCCCATCTGCAGCCTCGGCGAGGCCTCGTCCTTCACTGTGCAGATGCGAAGCTTTCAAGGACACGTCTGCACCGGCCCAGCGGGGGTGCGTGTGCGTGAGTGTGTCCGCGTGCGTGTGAATGTGTGCGGTGGGGGGGCTGCTGCAGGGGGCGCCCCGGGAACCCCCCCCCCGCGACACTCCTAACCCCACTGCTCCCACCCCCGCGTTTTCCGGCGTCTGCCGGGGATCCTTGTCCGCCCCCGCCCCGCCCCCACACTGCGGCGCCACCGCCACTACCGCGCCCGGGCTCCCACGACCTGCGCGGCGGGGGCAGGGAGGAGCCAGGCACGACCACCCCCCGTCACCCACCGGACCTCTGCAGGGAGGTGTGCCCCCCAAATGGGCACTTTACCCACCCTTGCCGCCCCTCCCAGATCCGCTGACGCCCCGCACCCCCAGCCACAGGTGGCCGGAGGAGGATCGCAGCGTAGCGCTCCCCTCCCTGGCCCCCCGATCGCCCCCCGTCCCGCCCCCGGGGGCCTCCTGGGCCCCCCGGCCCGCGGGGCCGAGGAGGGCGGGGAGCCGGGGGGAGGGGCGGGGGGCCGGGTCGTGCCAGGCTGCCATTTTCTGCCGCCGCCGCGGAGCCTGCGCGGGGCCCGATCCCCGCCCCCCTCCCCCGCTCTCCGCGGGCCGCGGCGGGGAACGACGATTCCGGGTCCGGGTCCAGGCTCTTCAGCAACCCGGCAGCAAGCCCCGGGCGGCGCCCCGGGGTGGGGGTAGAGCCCGGAAGGCGGGGGCGGCCAGGCCAGGCCCCTGCGGCAGCGCTGAGCTGGGCACCGCAGCTGAGGCCGGCGGTGGAGAGGCCCCCCGCGGCATTGTATAGACTTGAACTTGAGCCCAGAGCCAGGCGGGGGCGGGGAGGGGGCTCTGTGCCGGGAGTGGGCAGGACGGGAGGGGGCGCCTGCCGAGCCCGCGGGGACATAAACAAACCCTCAAATCCCCCGCGCCGCCCCGGCCGGTCCGCCCCGCCGTCCCCGCCCGCAGCCCTGGCACCGCAGGCGCCCGGCGCCGAGTTGCCGGGGTTCAGGAGTGTGTCCTAAGCCGGGCACTGCCCGCTGCCGTGCCCCCCGCCCGGCCTTCCTTCCCTCCCTCCCCGCCTGCCTCCGGGCCGGCCTCCCCGGCC